TGAGACTCTGTCTCAAAAAAAAAAAAAAAAGGGGCGGGGTTATCAGACATCATGTACGATGACACGGTAGAATCTAAATATATAGAGATCTAAATTCTCAACCTTTTTCCAGTATTCTAAAGTTAATGGTGTGTGAGAGAACGCTCTGAATCAGGGATCAAGAACTCAAAGTTCTGGTTCAGGCACCTACAATATTCAAATATCATATTCAGTTTTGTACACACTATTGTGCCTCTAAATGCATAAACTAGTTAAATTGAAATAATTTTCATGTTTTTAGTCTAATTTCCTGCAAAATATTTGGGGTAAAGGGAGACCTGGAGAGGCTGCGTGAGATGACTTATAAAGTCTTGTCTAGATGATTCTAAAATTACAAAATACTTCCCCAAGTTCCAGCAAATAGGAGATTCATTCTTTGACATGATAGTTTCTAATTTTAAGTTTTTTTTCTAACTAGACTGAGGGATAAATGTAACAATATCATAACTGTTAGGTGTAATGGTGCCTGCTAAATGTTATCATTTAGATAAATAACATTTATAGTGGCTTTTGCTTATGTGAATTGCTTTGAAAAAGTATAGATTTCATAAAAGAGACTTGTCTCTGTTTTATAATATTTTTCAGTTTATCAAGGCTTAATTTCATTCTTATTTGCTTTCAGTATATAAGAAGAGTCTTGGAGATGACATTAGTTCTGAAACATCTGGTGACTTCCGGAAAGCTCTGTTGACTTTGGCAGATGTAAGGTTTTATTTTTTATTTTGTGACTCCCCGGTAAGCTGCATGCTCAGTAATAATTTTTAAGGAGTTTAAAAATAACCAAACCGAGACGATGAGATTGCAGTTTTCCTTATGAAACGGTTTGTTTATTTTGCATTTGCGTCGCCAACAAGCAGTATAATGTTTAGCCAAGATCATAAAAGCACACATAATAATGTAACCAAAAAAAAAAACCAAAAAAACTTGTTCGGATCAGTATACGGAAGTACTTTGATCAGGTTTCATGATTGTCTTAGCCTGATGGTTGAAACAGCGCTTGTCAAAGTCAGCCGCTAAGGAATAAACAATTTATCTTAATTACGGTTTCAGTTATTTTAAATGATGGAAAACGTATTAAAGTTGAACCCACAAACCCAAGTTTGTGAAGGCATTGCTGCAAACATACGCTCTCAGAGGTCGATACTCGTAAGTGTTCTTCCATTTGTGCACGGACGTGAGCGCACACACCCGTAGGAGGCAGCACAGAGCAGGGCTCCAGGAGAGGGTTCTAGAATCAAGCAGAGCTGGCGTCTCATGCTGCCTACTGGCTTTACGTATTTGGACAAGTTATTTTAAGCCTTGAAGCGTTAGTTTTCACATCTGTCAAATCGAAATGCTAATCATGCCAACCACGTGGGGTGTCGTGAAGGTTGAGAGAGAGTACCCGATGTACTTAGCGGTCAACACGTGGCGCTGGTGTCTGTAATTGTGAAGTCCGGCGATGCTCAGCGTGGTTATTACTGGAACAGAGCGCGCAGTGAGAGCAAGAAGAAAGCAAACTCGCAGCTGCAGAGCGTCAGCATCACGGAAAAGAAACCAGGCAAAAATCAGACAGGCGTACCAGGACGTAATATTTGAAAACAGGAACAAATCCATTTCTAAAATAGTGCAGCCGAATGTTGCATTCACCTATAATTTTCAGAATATTCAGGCAATCCTGTTTTCCCTGTCTCCCCTCTTTGTATGATGTGCTTAAATATCTGTGCACGGCCACACACACGCTAACCACAGAGCCTTCAACGTTAAGGTTGGCGGGGGACCTTTGAGAGTTTTTGTTTTTTTTTTTTAGTAACCTTTGCTTTGTAGAGCGGTTTTAGATTTATAGGAAAACGGAGCAGAAAGTACAAAGAGCTCTCATGTGCCCCTCCCCCTCGTCATTTTCCCCTGTTATTAACATCTTGCGTTAGCGTTGCATGTTTATTACAGCTGATGAACGGATACTAATACACTGTTATTAACTCAAGTCTACAGTTTACGTTAAGGTTGACTCTTTGCGTGATACAGTTCTGTGGGTTTTGGCGAATGTATAATGTGGTGTGTCTGCCATGACAGGTCATACACGGTAGTTTCACTGCCCGAAAAGTCCTCTGTGCTCCACCCACTCATCCCTTGGGCAACCACTGATCCTTTTACTGTCTCTAGTTTTCCTTCTCTAGGATGTTCTATAGTTGGAATCGCACGGTATGTAGCCTTTTCAGGCTGACTACTTCCACTTAGCCTTTAAGGTTCCTCCATTTCTTTTTTTTTTTT